ATTTCAACATATCCACTTGCCTAGTCATTATTTTCCTTCTAATCTCCTCCAACATAGTTATAATTGATTTATGCCTAGAAGCTAAAATCCATGAATTAAAGGTCTCACACATATTATTTTCAACAACATCACACTTGGAATGCACTTCAAAATAAGCTCTAACCCATGACTTTTTTGGATAATATAACAAATCCCTACAAATATCCTTACCAAGTTTGTCCATTTTCTCAAGCTCCTCTTTAAACTTAACTTCATAACTAGATTTAGAGCACCTCCAAAACTGTTTTCTCCTTTCCTCTCCTTTCTATTTCTTATGCCAATTAGACCATATATGCCTGGCACACATCCTAAATTCAGCATTAGGTAAAACTTCATTCAAAGCTGTAGCAAATCCCTACACAATAATTAATTCAAATTACAGCAGCATATTACTACACAAAACAGAATACTTAACAACAGCAGAATACTAATTACTTAACAAAATAACAGAATACTTAAGTACTTAACAACTGAACATATCACATTAATGAACATCAAATACTAAAATTACTTAATAGGCTACTTAAGAGACAACAGAACAGAATACTTACCTTTTGCATATCTGCCATCACAGTCAATCCTTCTCCAGTTCCCAATTGCAAATCATCTTTCAAGTAGTTGATGAAAAAACTCCAGCCATGTTTTGTCTCCTGGTCCACAACTGCCCATGCTATAGGAAACATTTGCTGATTTCTATTCTTGCCAACAACAACTAGAAGCTCACCTTTACAAGCACCCTTTAAGAAACAACCATCAAAACCTATGATTCTCCTACATCCTTCTAACCAACCTTTCTTCAATGCATCAAAGCACACATAAAAGTAAACAAAGAGATTTTTTCCTGGCTCAGTTTCACTGTCCATCCTTACCCAACATGAGCTACCAGGATTGGTCTGTTTTATCATATCAGCATAATCACATAACCTTGCAAACTCCATATTCCAATCACCCATGGACTCTCTGAGAACACGCAGTTTAGCCCTATAACAAATTGTCTTGCCAACATACAATCCTAGCTTGTCCTTACACAACTCCTATATTTCCTATATCCTTATGTGGGGCTGCTTAGTTATTTCATATTTGAATTTCTTTGCAACAAACTTTGAAGTGCACAACTTATTCTTGTTTGAAGTATCACATTTGTGTACTGGGTAGTAGTTCTTTACTTTAAAATCACCTGAATCTCTATCAATACAAGCATAACACACCCATTTGCATCTCTTTGATTTACACTTAGCCCTCACCCTATGTGGTTCATTTGGTCTCAATTTAATCTGCACCTTGTACTCAATTGCATAATTTGCTAATGCTTTCCGAAACTCTATAGCATTCTCAAAAATCATCCCAAGTTCAAATATAGCAACTTCACAATCAGGATCATACCTGACTTTTGTACTCCTCCTTCTTGCTGGTATATCAACACCAGGAATAGCTTCAGGATCTAACTCTTCTGTTCTATCTTCACTATCAGCCTCTGAACTATCAATAAACTGCTCATCACCACCTAATTTACCTACATATCTTGAAGTCTTGTTTCTTCCAATATCCTCAAATCCTCTGTCAATACCTGTTTCTCTTAGTGGTATCTCATCTGTTGCAATTGGGTTTTTCCTCTTCTTACCCTGCCTCTTGCTCCTCCTTTCAGCCCTTAGAGATCTCAATTCATTATCAACATCTGAATCATCTTCTTCAGGAAGAACATCTTCTTCTGATTCACTACTCTCAACATCTGATTGCACTCCATTTTCATTAACATTATGGTCTGGTGGTTCATCTCCATCAACAGCATTTACAGTTGGTTCAGAATAATTGTGAGTTGGTTCAGCATCATTCAAAGTTGGTTCAATAGGAGGCTCAATAGGTGGTTCAGCAGCATTGTGAGTTGGTTCAGTTGGCGGCTCATTAGGTTCTTCAGTATTTGTATTACTCCCAGGTGTTGCCCTAGATTTAAATTGGTCATTACCACCCCCACCTACTTCTGCCCCACATAAAAGACCAACATTTTCTTCGACTACTTCAGGCTGACTCACCCCATGACGCAAATAAACATCCAAAATATCACCATGTTTTAAATCTTTCACAAATTCATATAACTGAAAATCAGAAAAGACTTTGATAAAATCACCATCTTTTTCCTTTTGACAATAAAACCCTTCGACAACTGCATACCCAAGGTCTTTAGCATAAGCAGACAACTCGACAACACTAAAATGGTCTTTATCGATAGCAACAACAAAAACATCTAATTCCCCTTTGCATATTGGGACAGGTTGCTCGATAAATGTACCCCCGTGGTGAAAGCGAGTTAAAATATAGTCATCCTCCATAATATTCCCTTACATAAGACGACAAGGGACCAGCACAAAGGNTAGCACAAAGGAAAACCCCAAAAAAACCCTAGCTTGAGAAATAACTTGCAAATTACTTAGCCCTAGCTATAACAATAGAAAATAAGGAGAGATTGGACCTTGAAGCGTTGTAAATATAGTGAGAAATCAGTGGAAATACTACATTCCAATACCATTGACCAAAAGAAGAAGAAGATTAACAGTGGTAGGACCTTTCTTCGTTTTCATCGAAGGTAAAAGGAACAATGGTAATATGTTTAGATGTTTGTTTAGGGCTAGTTATATGTATTTTAGTGGAAATAACACCATATAGCTGAGGTGGACAGTGAGGTGGACAAATAAAATGATGTGGCACGATTTATAATGGTTACTTTTGCCACGTAAATGGAGATTGCAGAACACGCGCTTTGTTAATTAATAAGCCAGCAAAAAACGTGTCTAATTGGTATGAGAATTACCTAAGAAACGTGTCTAATTGAAAAAAGGTCTAGTTTAAGTGTCTAAGTGAAAGATCGTGCCAACTTTAGGTGCCTCCGTATGTATTACGCCTTAAAAATACTAGATAAACAGTAAATAACATGTTAAAAAGCGGCTATCCCGCACTATTTCTACCTATTTCATCCGCAAAGCAGCCCATGGTAGGGTAGTGTACCCCTCTTTCTTTTTCTATGTATTTCCTTGCTTGTTTTATGTTACAGTCGAATTCGGAATTGAGGCGTAATTAATTGATTTGTGTTAATTTCTTAAATGACCCAATTTTGTATTATTTGATTTGGCCAGCCGAAGCACATTGGAAATGAGGTATGGGATAAGAAGATTATGGAGATGCTACCTGATCCTTCATCTGCACCTTCTAATTAGGTACTTCCATTTTCGTTCCCCTTTCTTTTTTACTTGTTTTTTTTTTTTTTTTTTTTTTAGTTAGGATTTCTGTTTTTCTCTATTTTTAATTGGCCATGTAGTCTGTTTGATTTTGTTAAAATTTGTATTCGACTCCGAGCTTTGATAATGGTATTTCAAACATTTGCTTGTGTTCTACTTTTGCACCTTTCAGGTAATCGTTTAGAATTTAGATTAATGCACCAATCTGCGATTTGATATATATTTGGAATGCGTTATGTTCTATCTCCTGCTAGCTGATCTGAACTTCTCATTCACCCATTCCTATAGATTCTTTTTTGTTAATAAAACGGATGGTTTGAAATTATGAAGCTACTTAGCTCAATTCAAATGCCATGAATGATAGGAAAGTGGGCGTGTAAATTCCAAATCTCAAGTAAGCAGCTCTGGTTTGTATAATTCAGCTTTTAAACATGATGATGGGATGGTTTGAAATTATGCCGCTATTTGGACAGTGATTTGAGTTTTGAAGAACAGTGAAAAATAGATAGCTACTGACCGGAGAATATGGGGCACCACCTAGTGGTATCATCAATGGAGTAGCTGCAGACTGCATCGCTGGAAAAGACGAGGGAGTAAAGACTGAGGAGGCAGAAAAAGGGTTTTGCATATTATGGTCTCAACAATCATTTCTCTGTTCTCGTTGAATATAAGTAAGCAGGGCACCACCTAGTGCCTCATCCTGAATGTACAATACGAACTCTTCAGGAAAAGCAGTGTTTACCCAATTTTTTGAACCAACCCTATTAAGCCGCTGCTATTTAGCAATGCCTTGCATGGGCACATTGATATTCATTAAAAAGAGTGGTTTTTCACAAAACCATTTCTAATTTTCTTGAGAAGGGGGAGCAAGCAACCTAGGAACCTTTAACATTTACAAATGATAATTACGAATCATTGAGCAGCTAGCTGAGAGCATTAGAAGCCAGCCTAGGTACAATGAGATGAAAATACAGCATACTGCAGCAACCCTCATGCCAATTGCCATCACAGCCTGAAGTACCTTGTGTACATATGGCTTGTAGGCGGCTTTCTTCGATTCCCCTTAAAGTTAGAGATTCTTATATCATAACTAAGCATGAACAACTCGCATTGTTATGGGATCAACTTTTTTTAATATGAAATGAAAAATGATCCCATAAGAATGCTAGTTCATGCTGGAAAACTACATAGGAGGCAGTTAGGGCAAAGCTTGAAAACTACATGGAAAGCCATGAAATGTAAGAAATCATTAGCAATGGCATTAGCACTACAGTTGATGTACCTTTTCTTTAACACAACACTCTTGTTCGGATTCCTGGGAACCCGATGGGTTTACTTTGATGATTTGGTGCTTTATTGCCAGTATTTTTTGGAAAATCAGTTATAAAATTCGAGAAATGAATTTGTGAGACAGTAGGACAGAAGCAGTGATCAGCCCTCATGGTGTAGGAGTTTGGAAGTTTTTAGAAACCAACAGTCAAGCTTTTCCTCAATGGTGCAATCAGAATAGAGAATATAAGAATAATCAACTTTTGGCACAACTTGTGGATATGGATTACCCCATGGAAAGCAAGAATGTCCTTACCTATTTAGTCTAGAAGCCAACATTGAGGCTACATCATCGCAAGTTGCAACAGACAATGGCTGGGAACTTAGGTTCAGAAGAGAGTGCTTTGACTATGCAATAGAAAGGTGGCCAGGAAGTAGATCAGGCATGCAGCTTAATAGTAAGTGAGGATACATTGATTTTGGATGCTAGTGGGAATTGAGTACAGGTACAACAAATTTTCAAGAAGTTATATTGTGGATCAAATGCTCCATATATCATGCTTCTGCTGGTGATAGCTCATGATTCCTTTCTAACCCAGTCGAATTTGCAGAAAAGGGGAGTAAACATATGCAGCAGGTGCTTCATTTGACGCATGACATGGAGGATCAAACATTTATTCCTGCATTGCCAGTTACAAGGCAACTACGAGACCTGTCCTGATTTGTAAGCTAGTTGGGTCATAGTTGCAAAAAGGAGCTGAGAAAATTATTGAAGACTGTCCCTACTTGTGTGTGCTGGACTATTTGGGAGGGGAGAAACCAGAGGCGCATTGAAGGGAAATCATCCAATGTACATATGTTGAAGTATACGTGTTATTACAAATTTTAACCGCAACAGAGGAAATTGGTAGAGTTTATAGGCAATATCAGATGCAGCAGGTTAATACTCCTTCTGTACATGGGTATACCCCTTTTTGGTATTGGCCAGCATTGGCTAATTTAGTGCTAGATAATAGTATAAATGACATACTACCCTCCAAGAAGGTTGGAAGTTACCACCCTACAAAAAGGTTGGAAGTTGGTGAATAAAGCTAAAGAGGAAGGAGGTTTGGGTAGGCGGCTCAATGAAGATGTTGGCCTAAAGCTAAACTTCAATAAGAGGCCTTCCATCCAATACAATGAGGTTTGAGGAAAGAAGTAAGAGGCCTTAATTTTTTGGTCAAAACAAAAATCTCATATATATATATATATATAAAGCCCATTTTTCTAGCTTTTTGAGATGCAAAATTATGAGTAGTAATTTTCTATTATTGATTTCTTCTAAAAATTTTCTTTTATTTAATTTTGATAAACCCCTTTCAACTGAGGCAACTGCTATATGAATTGTTAACACTATTCTATAAACAACAAAGGCATTTGGAAAAGAATGAAGTTTTTCTATCTGATTGAGTATATTAATTAAAGTATATATTTTCCACTTATAAAGAACTTTTCATTTGAAAAATAAGTCATAATGGCTATTTTATTTTAAAGAACGTTCAAGGCTAACCAATTTTGGAGGGAAAAATATATAATTTAAATAATAGAATCTAATTCAAGTTGTTATCATTTATAGATGTAGATCTTGGACCTATGGATGGGATGATATCAAAATATAATCTTTCGCTGCTTAAATGTGCTTATTGCAATGCTTGAAAAACTTAAAGAAAAAACAAGAAGAGAAAGGCAGGGAGATGTTTTCAGCACTCTAGTTTTTACGAATAGTACTCTCAAACTCGAAGAAAAAGAATTTAAAAGTATAATACACATTCTTGGAAGAGGATGCTAAAGGATAAAAATAACGTGGGCCAATTTAAGAGGTTAGCTGTCAAATGTAAATGAGGCAAGAAAATATTTGCATGTAAAGTGATTACTAAAATGACATTTACCGAAAGGATGGTTTCATTTTTCTTTTAATGAAAAATTGCACTTTCTCCTTAGAAATACTCAATATTTTTACGAAAATCAAAAAATATACATATTACTAAAATAAATGGGGCCCCACGAATATGAGGCCTAAAGCAGTTGCTTGGGCTGCTTCACCTTTCACCTCCCTCTGAGTTAAGTTGGTGTGTTCCTTGGCTGGATTGTCTAGGGCATTTTCGGTTAGATCCAAAGTCCTTTTGGGATAAAGTGATGCAAAAGCAAAGTCAGAATAGTTGGATGCTTCTTTAGCTTAATGCATCTGCTGATGCTCTCTCTTGTACTTTATTTTACTAAGATGAACTTTGTAGATTTGCAGCTCATTCAATTATTGGATCTAGTCGAGAATGTCTTTTGCAGGTTGGAGAATAATGTGTAAAAGCTTCAGAGAAATCGTCAATTAATTTGCCCCTTTTACTTGTTGTCATGCCCCGAGCCTAAAGGCGAGACCGGCACCTAGTGCCAATATAAAACTGAATAGAGACTAATGCTGACTAAATGTCAATATAAAGCTGGGCCAGCAAGACCGTCATAATTACTACAACTGATTAGCCAACAAAATATACGTACAAGGCCTACAAGCCCAACATACTGCATTAACTGACAGGATGTGTCTACAAGCCTCTACTGTTAGATGTACTGTGATCAGAACAGGGCCCCGACCTACCCATAACCTATCTACATATATACACAAGATGTACACAAAACTTTTAGACCCGGCAACTTCGAAGGATGGAGAGCTTATCGATAAAGCTGAACTCGGGCAAACACCTACTCGGGAGGTCTACCCATCTGCCTGTCTGGACCTGCACGCATAAAATGCAGCGCCCCCAGAAAGGGGCGTAAGTACGAAATAATGTACTGAGTATGTAAGGCAATATGCTGAAGCTGAAACTGAACTGATCATATAATAACTGAAAACAACTAGGAGTCAAAAAAATCTGAAGATATGCTCATCTGCTGATACTGACTCAACTATCTCAATATAGTGAGTAAAATAGCTGTCCGGCCCTATAAGGCTTGGTATATATATATATATATATATAACTGCTCTGCCGTAGTAGGCTCGCTCATAGGCGCTCGACCATACTAAGCTCTGTATCTCGATCAACTAGGCTCGCTCATAGGTGTTCGGCCACAGTAGGATCGGTATATAACTTACCATCTGATCAGAGGTTGCCCAATAGGGGCCTGCCCATCGATTATAGCTCGATGATAATGAAAATACTTTAATAATTTATATATAAATTCTCTGCTCTCTTGATTGGAAGAAGGAAATACTCAATTGAATATGGAGGCCCGATAAGGATAATATCGTAACTTACAAAACCACGCAAATATACGTAACTTGCAAGACTAGCAAAATATACGTAAATTCCGGGATATGAATTTTTCTTTGTGACTCGTTATCGAACTTTTATAATTACAAGACCATGCAAAATGAAGGAAGAGCTTAGCCTTAACATACCTGGAGTAGGGAAAAATCCGTATGATATTCTTGGAACAGGTTGCACCGTACTCCGCTAGAATCGCAAAACGTAATTATGTTGCTAAGACTTTAATAATTCTTGTTGGGTTTTTTTCCGTAGGAATTAATTGCAAAGAAAATGTCTAATATCTACTTCATCCAGCAAGTAATGTGAGGTCCTACGTCTCTGTTCTTAGTTTGGAACATTTCAAATGAAATTAGCATAGTTTGTTTAGTCTTTAAATGAAACACTTTGATTAGTCAAGGTCTTGGAAATGAAATACATTGTATCTTCATGACACCATAGCAAGGAATGACTAAGTCATTCCTTATAACATGGCAAGCTTCCACGTGGGGTTGGGGGTGGGATAATTAATCTTTATCCACTTATTATGTAATTAGGTAGTGTCCCGTTACCCGGTAATTAACCAATTATCCGTGTAATTAAGAATTATCTCAAATTACCTAAAAATATTACTCATTTTATATATATATCATATTATCATGGCCATGTGATACCTTGTATGGTACTAGTCCATAATTATCGGGTATTATCGCTCGACACGTATTTTATCCCAAATTGGCCACTTTTAATGAAACTCGTTTTCTTTAATTCGTGTACCCTTTATCCTTCATGAAACTTATTTATCGCTTGTTATAAATAGCATAAATATGTTAGCCTCAAGATAATCTCATCCCCGAGTTTATGTCAATTAACTGAAGACGAAACTTTTAACGTACGAAAACGCAAGATGTAACACTTGTACTCTGTTTACATATTGTGCAAGTCTTTGGTGGATTTGGGTGGAACTCGTAAACCTACATACTTCATTAGCTTGTTCACGAATAAATTTAATTAGAAATCAGTGAAGTTGAGTGTGTTTGATGCAAACTCTTGTTTTCTGGTTTAAGCAGAGCAAGATTCCCATCTTACGTAATTGGAATATAAAGCCAAAAGGAAGTTGCGACTGCCATGACATGGCTCCAAGGTCTTGCATAGTGAAGTCCCTTGCATTGCTGTGTTTGAGAGAGCAACAGATAACGACGGTAGGCTTTGGCAGCGGAGCAAGCCTATTGCCTTTATTTGACATTCTACCTTTTTATTTGTGCTTTATGCTGTATTCTGGGGACTATGGATCTCATTGTTCTTGTTGTGTTCCCATTCAACTCTATTATATCAATTTCAAGTATCTTTTTTCTGTTTATCAGAGTTTCAAGCTTCATAATCTGCTGATGCATGTAAACTTCAAGTTTTCTCCTCATGACAATAAAAAACATGCTTGGCCAGAAGGTTCCTTTTTATTATGGCTGAAAAATGTTTAGCTAGCATGAAGGTTGAATAGGTTTATGTGGCAACACTGTTGTAGGGTGTATCAGAAGTTCTACTCACTGTGTATTTTTTCTTGCGATGATGCAGGCGCCTATGAAATTCTCAGGACCTGTGGGAATAAGGAAAATGTCTTAAAGTTCTCCTTGGGTGAACTCATGTTGAGAGGACTTTACATCAGTTTTCTTCCTTCACTTGATGGTTTGTCCGCGGGTGATGAACCTTAAACGTTAAGGTTAATTGAATGTGCCAGAAAAATAACAGAACAACGTTGAGCTAAAAGATTTGGTGATTGTTATGGAAATTAATATTTTTGGCCTGGTTTGCTTGGTAATTTGGTGAGGTTTTGGTTTGTAGTTGGACTTGATGGAATTATGGTTTGCTTGGTAATTTGGTGAGGTTTTGGTTTGTAGTTGGTCTTGATGGAATTATGGTTTGCTTGGTAATTTGGTGAGGTTTTGGTTTGTAGTTGGTCTTGATGGAATTATGGCAAACCATACTACTGAAGGTCCTGAAAATGCTCTTAACATCAGTTTCTGTTTAAATGCGAGTGTCAGTAGAAATTGAAGTGAAAGTCGGCCCTTGTAGAGGGTTATAAAATGGTGTTTGAAAGCTAGCTCGTACAATTTCTACCTATTAATATCCCAAAAGGAGTTGCTAGTATGAGAAATAAAACCATACGTTTTCACTTGTTTTAACTAGGGAAAGATGAAGAGGGTAAAAGGTCTTAAAGAATCAGCAAGTTATATATCTAGCAGAAATATAGAACTATCAGAAAATATATCCTTTTGTCATGACTATCATTTGTATTCATATGCCTAATCATGACATAAGGGTAAAGGATAAAAGGGAATGGAAATTTTCCCTAAAATGTGCACTTTTGGCTCAACAGTTCTAGTGGTTTATTGTTTTTGAGAGAATACCATAAATAAGTAGAATGCTATTTAAGGACAAAGCATAGTTGAAAGAACAAATGGGAGTACTTATTAACAGGATGATATTTATAAGGTGCATCTGCAAGTGCAATACATAAGTCACATCTGACAGATGCGAATTTTAGGGAGAAATTCAAAAATAGCCAGATTTATAATTGATCGTTCAAAAATAGCCCAGTTTTAAAAGTAATCAAAATTTAGCCACTTTTCATTGTAAAGATAAAACTGAGCGAAAATACTATTCAAAACCCGGAAAATACGCCAGTATATTATACTGGAGTTCCAGCATAAGTAAGCTTGAACTCCAGCATATTATACTGGAGTTCCAGGATAAGTATGCTCGAACTCCAGCATAATATGATGGAGTTCCAGCACAAGTACACTAGAACTCCAGCATAATATGATGGAGTTCCAGCATAAATACACTAGAACTCCAGCATAATATATTGGAGTTCCAGCAAGTATAATTGTCCAGTATAATATACTGGAGTTTGGAGCACCGGTGCTCCAGTCTCCAGTATATTATACTAGAGTCAGCAAAGTATACCGGTCCAGCATAATATGCTGGAGTTCATACACTGGTGCACCGAACTCTAGTATATTATGCTGGACCGATCTCTGTTGCAGCAAAATAGTGGCTATTTTTCATTGACTTCGTAAACACTGACTATTTTTGAATGACTAGTCCGAAAACTGGCTATACCGTGCTATTTTTACCGAATTTTACATTGGACAAAATTGGATTAATAGCCTGTTTGGCCAAGCTTCTAAAATTAGCTTATTTTGGGAAGTGTTTCTCAAAAGTACTTTTGAAAAAAATGCTTTTGGCGAGAAACAGTTTGTATTTGGCTAATTAATTTGAAAAGTACGTTTGAGCAGTAATTAGTGTTTGACCAAGCTTTTGAAAACTGTTTCTAAGTGTATTTCTCAGAAAAATGCTTTTGGAGAGAAGCTACTTTTTTCTGCTTCTCCTCAAAAACGTTTTTTTTTCCTTCCAAAAGCTTGGTCAAATACCTCAATTTTTGGCCAAAAATGCTTTTGGCCCAAAAAAGCACTTTTTGCCCAAAAAAAAACTTGGCCAAAGAGACTATAAGTGCTACTTATAAAACACATTTGACAATTACGACTTATAAATCTCGCATTCGATAAATGTTTGCCTTCGGCGTGACTTATGGCTTGCATTATCTTCCGTCTATTCTTTCCTTTATGGTTTGTTTTTAACTTGCATTCTGCAAATGCGTTTTGCATTTTTTTGATATTCCCTTAAAACAACAGCAATGGTTGAGCCAAAACGTGTACATTTAGGGAAAAATTCAAAGGAATAAAGGTAGGTCGCTGCATATGTAGTGGATGAGTACCTGGCGCAAAACAAAGGAGACAGACAGGACAAAGCTGGATCATTAATAAGGTTACGAGATCTTCCCACTTTAACCAATTCCCACCTGAAAATCAATGTCGTTTGGGAGACAAGGGGTTGGTGGATGTATCATTAATTAATATCCTTTTCTATTTCTTGGAATTTTGGAAGAACATATCGAATATGAGTTTACAGGTTGGTGCCTCAAATTCATACGGACATTATCCTCCTAACCATACACAAGTCGTACCGGCAATTTGCAAAGATATACGAAATTGCTACTCCATTAGTACTCCCTCCGGTCCATAATAAGTGACCAATTTGCTTTGGACACACCAATTAAGGAAATACTAAATACTAGACAAAATAGTTAGTGTGACTAAACTATCCTTAATTAAATATTGCAGCATAGTTATAGTATCACTTATTTCTCTTCTCAAATATAAGGAGTAAATGACTTTTTAGAGATACACACAAAAGGGTAATTTTAGAAAAACAAATTGAATTTTTTCTTGATTATATAAATGGACACTTATTTTGGACCAAAATATAAAAAGCAAATTGATCACTGTCGACATGTAATTTTTGTCTCTCCCCAAGATTTTACACATTTTAGCATAAATATTTAGTTTAGGTTTAGTATCGCTCTCTTTTACTTTATTTTTAGAGAAAATGCATAAAATACCCATTAAACTTGTCAGCAAAAATTATTTGCACACCTAAACTTTACGGGTGTCTTAACACCCCACTATTTTTATCTATACTAAATTTAATACCCCATTGAGTGATGACCTGACATGAAAAGTGTAGCTCATTTCGTTGATGCGCGTGAGGTAAAAAAAGAAGAAGCTTTAAATTAATTTAATTATCCAGGTGTCACTTTCCTATTGGATACTCTAACTAATTAAACTCAATACTAATTTTTTCTCTTTTTTTATTCATTTTCTTTTCTTTTTCTCTTTCTTCATTTTAGCACACCAGTGTCACCATCTTCCTCCCCATTTCTTGAAACTAAGTCATGTTTTATTTTTTGCTTTTTTTTTTCTTACTGAGTCTCTATTTCCACTAGTGTGTTTCCTTCGCCATATTCCATCAATATAATCCTACTGCAATGAATTAAAAAGAAAGAAGACAAAATATCTCACAACCAAGGGCTTATTTTTTGGACTGATTTTAAGGTGTTTTGGAGCTGTAAATTGGTGGTTTTGAAGGCTGATTTCAGCAGGTTTTGGGGAGGTTTCGGGGCCGGAATTTGCTGCAATTTTCAGTGATTTTAAAGGAAAAAAACTGCTGGAATTTGGGGGTGTCTTGGAGCTGATTTTCGCAGCTCTTTTCTGGTTTTGCAGCTGATTTTGCTACAATTTTGGGATGGATTTTGAGGTATTTTGGGGTGAGTTTTAGGTGCTAATTTTAGGGGTTAGTTGTGGGGGGTTTGAGCTCTGTTTTGGGCTGTTTTATGGCTGTTTTGCCAGATAATTTTTAGTGGTTAAAAGGAGCGAAAATAGTGGTCATTTGGTGGCGAATTTACATGACTTTGAAGGATGAAGATATGGATATTGTTTTTGGGTTTTCTTTCTGTTTTTGCAGCTTTTCAAGGTGGTTTAGAGCTGGTTCCATGGTGGTGTAGGTGGTGATAAAGATGACATGGAAAAAAAGAGTTAAATAAAAAAGTAATTAAATAAGTAAAAAAAAAAATAAAGCAGCTTATGACACGTGGCGCGCATGTACTACACATCTCACCACAAGACTGACTAAGTGTTACTAATGGGGTATTAAATTCACCCCAAACAAGAATAGGGGGGACATAGGTTGCCCGTAAAGTTAAGGTGTGTAAATGATTTTTCCGAACAAGTTTGATGGGCAATTTATGTATTATCTCTTATTTTTATCACAAAAATAAAAATTACAAAAATATTTTCTCTTATTTAGCTAATTAATATTTTTATCTAGTTACTTTTAATTTGTCTACCTTACATAAAATTCAAAAATACAAAAAATAGTTCTAGGAATATTATCTTAATTTTACAATAATTTTTTCATTTTTTATCTTCTAGTATGATATTTAAAAAAATACCAAAAATAGGTTTGTTTTAATGGATAGTTTTATTTTAATAGTTATTTTTACTTAAGTAGGATTAATTAGTAAATGGTGTAGTATTTTTGGTCTTGTTTTAGAAGAAAGAGTGTGAAATTTGGGGCTAATTTTGTTTGGTCTTAATTGAAAAGGCCCAATTTCGGATAGCCCAAAACATTGAGCCCATACCCCTTCCTCATTTGACCTAACCTAATTCCTACCCCCTATAAAATAAGGTTTAATTCCTAAATCCAAAGATGGAGACACAACCGTCACTTCAAAAAACCACAAAATCAGCGTCCGTTTTTTAAATTCCTAAAATAAAAAGCTAAAAAACGGCTGAACCATTGAACCTAGGGAACTACAGGAGAATCATCAGCCGCAACCTGCAAAGGAATAGGAGAGTGAGAACAAAAAAAGCGTGACGAAACAGAAAAGTAGCGCAGCAAAAGCTAAGAAAAGAGAAAGCCTCCAGTTTCTTTCCATCTCTTAATGAAATAAAAGTGATTAAGCCATTAAGCCTATTGATGCACAACTTTTGGATCCTACCTAATCTTGCCAGAACATTTTGTGAGACACAAAATTAACGTAATCAATTTTGGTACTTTTTTGATTGAGGATTAGTATAGAACGTGGGGAATAAATGTACAAATAGTTCTCTCGCCTCTAAGTCACTGTCGATGAGTCCGTTGATTTCGTCGTTTTAGTTTAATTCAATTTTTCCGGTGAATTTCAAGTTCGTCGAAGGTCGTGTTTGGGTTTCGAGTTTTTCGCTGATTCTTGGTTCCGGTTTGTAATCTCGGTATTTCGGTCCAAGGATTGTTGCTTTGTTTAGCTCGATTGATTTACAATTTTCGATGTTATTCACCAATAAATGGTCCATTTCTCAATTTTCATTCTCATTTCATTGTGTTATGATAGCTTGGTGCGTGTGTTGGTTGATTTGTAATTCTACGTTATTTGAGTAGCATGCCTTAGTTTTCATTTAAATTGTTTTAATTAGTTTTTATTTCGATTGTGATGTATGTAGTCTTGGTTCTTGAATAAATGCTTTTAATCGGGTAGATGAAAAAAATTGGAGTTGTTTCTTTCTTGGCAAGGAATAAGAATGGGCCGTAAGGTGAGTTTTGGACCATAAGAAATCTGACCAAGTAATAGATCATGTT